CCCCTCCCTCCCCCCTAGCCACCGCCTCCTCTTTCTCTTCTCATCTCCCGGTGACTACGTGCGTTACGTCGCGCCGGCCTTTTATCGTGGCTTTTAACGCGACACGGGATGCACATATTATGCCGGCCACAGGTGGAATCGTCATCGAGGCGATCCTTCGTCGTTGTCGGCAGCAATTTTTCAAGCGGACACCTCGAAGTAAAATCAGGCCGTGAAGGAAGACGGACGGCGGAAGACGATGCTTCTCCCCCTTCGGCTTTGTCTCCGGGCGCCTCCGAAAATTCAGAACGCGCTGTGTTGTTTTGCCAAGGGAGTCGCGCGATCAGCTGACCCCTGTGATGCCTGTATAGCCGAGAGCTTTATGATAAAAAGTCGACGCGTGACCAAAATCACGGCGAAGTGTTTTCGTAAGGAAAACGGGGTGAGAAGCCGCAATCGTACACACACACCGCGTCATATATGCACCATTTCCCCGGATCGTGAATCGTACCATTTTTAGCCTTACATACATATATAAGGTCGAAAAACCATTATAATTATAGCCATTATATAGGCGATTTTCATAGTCAAGGTGGAGCAAAGAAACGGATGATTTTAAACAGCCATTTATAGACTCAAAAAATTATATTGTCTTAAATGTAAGATCTGACTACCAGTCCATAGCCCGACCTAAGTTATAATTAGAGTTGCTTGTTCGGTTTTCAATCTTACACGTATATGTGTAAGGCTAAAAATCGTAAAAACTCTTGATCTGGAGAATGGACGAAGTGTGTCCAGAACGCAGTGCGTACGTGTGTAGGAGAGACGTAACGTAGCCGGACGAGCGAATTAAAAAGCAACCGTAAGATCTCACGCGTAGAAGCCGGTTAAAAGGACCGAGCGCATTGCGTAAAACGTAAGGTCTCGATGTTGGTTGGTTAGAAAGCTCACAGTACGCGTGCGAACGAGCGAACGAACGATCGAGTCAACTTCTATGGTTCGTACAAAAGACACTTTGAATCTTGGCACGTGTATTTTAACCACAGAAAGAGCAGCCGGATTTTGCCGGCCGGTCGCAGAGCATCTTCGAGTCGCGCTCCTCCCGCGACGTTACGACGTAGGGGAGTCCTCGACGAGCAGGATCTGTCGGCAACGCTTGTGATTCCATGTGTGTGACACACAGAAAGGACACAGATGCGCTATAAATAACTCGTTTAGGTAATCATCTCGCGCCCGCATGTGTGAACACACTCGATCGCCCTGTCTGTCGATGTGCATTGTAAGAAGAAATTACTTTGTGCACTCAGATACGCTAAAATTTCACATTATTTTAAGATATCCACGGTGTCTGCGAAAACGATCGCAGCTCCAATTTCCAGAAACGAAGGGAAGATCGCAGCTGTTACGCGAGTCCTGCTAGCCGAGTCGAAATTTTGGTCCTATGTGGAACCTTTCTTCAATTCTACAACACAGTAGGAGCTAAAATGACAAAACAAATTCAATATATATATATATATATCTTTTTTTTGTTAGGTTAGCGTGCTATTTTTAATTTCCATTTTTAATATCTTCTTAACTAAAAATAAGATTTTGATGAAAAACCACTATGCACATTATTGCAATATAGTTCCATTCTTTTCTAAGAACATACACGTAAGAAAGGAATGATTTTATATTTAATTCCCGATAATTCACGTTTGAATTACCAGCTTGTACCATTTAATGACACGACGGTGACCGGTCGTGAGATGCAAAAAGAGACGCGGCCACTTTTCATCGCTCCGCGGACATGTAATATTCAATCCGACAACACGCCGTTTGTCTAAAATCTATTTCTACACGCCGTTCTCTCTGTTTCTCCGCACCTATAATAAGTCACTCCCGTCATATCTGTTACGAAACAGAGGGAGAGATGCTCGTCCGCCCTCATCGACAGGAATGATTTTTTCGCTATTGATAAATAGCGTGGCGCGCGCGCACGAAATAGCGATATTTTTATATCGGTCCGATCCCCGCGAAGAGGGGACGAAGAGCGCGAGAGAAGAGAATTTATGTAATGGAAGTCGCAAGATTACGCATCCGCCCCGCCCGCCCGTTTCTACGTGCCGTTAGTTTTAATACGAAGTGGATCGTGCCTTCGGATAATTAGCGGATTTGTCCGACATACGTGTTTCGATGCACGGCTTCGTGCGTTCGCTTCGCAAATACTCGCCGCGAGAATATGAAATTCGCGTGTGTACACATATATATATATATATAAACATATATGGTGGAGAAACGTATAGAGAGATAAAGAACGGAAAGAGGAAAGAATAAGTAACGAGGAAACATATAACTATGTTATTCTTTTATATACATTTTTTTTCTCTCTTTCTTTACGTTTCATATTTTTTTCTCTCTCCATTTATTTAATTTGGAAATAAGTTAATTTGCAAATTCAGTTGGAATGTAAGCGTGGAAAATATCCGTTACATACATTGTTGTTCTCATTAACTTCTGCTTCGCGCTTATGCGAATTTCTGGCGCGCGAATATGAAGAAAAGCTACGCCGAGTAACGCCGAGGCAATGCGGATGCGCGTGCGAGATAAAGGATAAAGAAGACTCGCGAGGATGTTTCTCTACGGTAACGTACCTGACACGCAGACCTGGATTGATCCGAGGGGGCCTGCGGATTCGGGGACCCAACGACTCGTAGGATACCAGATCCGTGTTAGAAGAGTTGTCCGCAACAACAATGGAGGATCGGTGCATCTGGGAATCTGTGAAAGTAACGGTCTACAAATTCAAAAGATCCGCGCGTGCAGCGATCCAGAAAGATCCAAGAGTGCCTCGAACGAAATGCTCGCCGTCTCCGCGATCTATAAATCCAATAAATCATATCGTCGAGGATCTGCAAGCCATGATGTTACGTGTACTTCTTTAGTTTCTTCTCTCTCTCTCTCTCTCTCTCTCTCTCATGACTACAGATGTTAATATACGCTTTGCATAAAGTTCGTAATTAATAGTTAAAGAATACTGTTGAAAATCTACTTTCAATTACTAAAATTTTGCGTAAGACATATATAAGCATTTAGTATATGTTTTTACAGGGAACACGCTTTAAGAGACTATATGTCCTGGAGTGCACAATAAATCTCTCTCTCTTTCTCACTCTCATGACACACGTTCTCTTATCGCGTGTTTAAATATCGCTATCCGAGCCGCGGGGAGGGCGAAGGGAGGGGCGGATTGGCGGAGTGTCGGGGGCGAAATAAGAGAGGATCCCACGATCGCGTTCAGCATCGGGGATCTGCGCACAGGTGGAAACCCACGATTAATCCGCGAGGATTCATCGAGAGCGCGAACCACCGTGCGCGCGTATCCGCCGGTGTTGCGTCCCGTTTGCGCGGGATTCGCGTAGTAGACCGGAGAAATCCATAAATCCGGCCGGGCGATTTCGCGAACCGGATGGAACGACACGTCCCCGCGGACTCGGAGAATAACATCTCTATCGGAAGTGCCGTTTTATCTGCGGCCGGGCTCACAGATCGCTCCGCGTACAAACAAGCGCCCGATAAACGCAGCCCCCGCATCATCGCAACATCAGCCTCTACTTTAGCGGCTTGTTCACGCGTCAATCAAAACACATTAATTTCGCGTTTCGCGAGAGAGAGAAAAAGAGAGGGAGGGAGGGAGGAAGGGAGGGAGAGAGAGAGTTGCGCGAATCATATTTTCGCAAATCATGAGATAGCTAGAGAGAGAGAGAGAGAGAGGAGCCTTAGCTATGGTCGCTTCACGCGCAACTCGGACGATCGATCTCTTTGTTTCGCTTACGTGGAGGCGAGTACGTGATCGCGAATAACATGACGTTCATGCTGTCTCGCTCGTTTCTCCGCTTCTCTTTTTCATGCTGCTTCCCTCTGTCCGATTTTCTCCTTTCTTCTCCCTCTCTTTCTTCTCTCTCTNCTCCCCCCCCCCCCCTCTGTTCCCCTTCTCAAACCTCGCCGGACGATGCGCCCTCGGATTGCATCGTGCGAGCGACGACATAATCGAAGAGCTGAATTTTATTAAAAACCGGTTCGACCGGCAAAAAAGCGACGGGCCCGGAGTAATCGTCAAAATGCACCGTGAAGCCTCTCTTTGGCTTCTTATCATTTCGCATGCGATCAGCGTTACCTTGCTGTATAACAATTATACGGGACAAGCTTCCCTGCAAGTGAGCGCTTGCATACAGAGCGTGCATTAATACCGAAGGATTACTCGAGAAATTACGGAAAATAAAGTAACGTGAGAGGGAGAGAGAGAGAGAGAGAAATAGATAGATATAGCGAGGGGAAGGGGGGGGGAGGAAGAAGGGAAGGAGAGAGAGAAAGTCGGCGTAGATTATAGATATAGCCGTAAAGCGGAATATAATCTTCATTGTGTTATTTATTCATTATGCAAATCTCGAGTGCGTTACGCGCGCGCGCTACACAAAGATAATAACGCGAGAGTTTGCTGACATCTTATCGTCGCCGATCATTAAGGAATCGAGAGATACGGAGCGTGCCATTTGCGAATCGCGCCCCGACACGTGTTGTCGTGAGAGATAAGCGCGAGTTTCGTAACACGCGTGACAGAAATCTGGTACATCGGCTCAGGATTTATCGGCCGAATATCTCTGCGACGAGGAAAAGGTAGAAGTGGAACCTTCACACCCTCCCTCTACCCTTTGCCATCAGTGTTGAATACACGCGCGCTGTGTGTCTTAAAAGACTGCACCCCTCGCACACGGGCGGGAGGAGCAAAGGAAGGAAGGTGTCCCGGGGAAACACGTACGAGAGAGAGAGAGAGAGAGAGAGAATTTGGAAAAATAATTCAGTATTCGACGTTGCTTTACGCCACGAAAGAGCAAAGATCTCGTGGGGGGGGAAGGGGAGACCATGGTGATGGTAGGCGGATCGCCTGTTCGGGTAGTCGATAAATATGATATCGTGATTAATATAGCCGGCCGATTAGCAACATTAATAGAAACGCGATGCAGACACGCGACGTGTAGTAAACGGACGGCGACGACGTTACATAACGTGCCGGCGAGCGAGCGAGCGAACGTGCAACACATAATCGTCGTTGCGCGGAGATCCAGAAAAATCGATCGTATCGCACCCGCGCGCGCGTGCGTGTGTGTGTATGATTCGCGTAAGTTATAAATATATACGTATAATGAGTAGAGAAACTCGCGTTTATAGCACTCCCGAGGTGATTCGCAGTGCGCGGCCACGCGGGGCACTCTCCAGCTCTCCCCTTCTCGCCCCTCCTCACGACGACGGGGCAGGAGGGGAGGGCAGAGGTGGAGTAAACGGTAGGAGAGGGTCGGTAACAATTACAACTAACTTGCAGATGTGTGCGGAAGCGCGAATAATGCGACCGGTTGCTTTGGCGCTTTTACGTGTGCGTAATCGCAAATAAAGCGACCGGTCGCTCGTTTCGACGCGCGCGCGCGCATCATATGACGACGACGACGACGAGCGTATGTACAACGACTCGCATTGAATAATTGTGCGGCCGGGTGGGGCAAGCACTTATCTGCAGAAACACGGCTTGCGAGATTCTTGCTCGGAGCCTTTGATATTGTGCACGTGGCCGGCTCGATTGGCTGCAAGGATCTGTCCGATTGCGCAATCCCTCCACACGCACGCGCGCGCACCACGTATACGGCGGGCCTCTCGAAGATTCGTGAATTTTCTCGTCCGCGCGGAGATCTCGAGTTTATGCAGACTGTGACCGGTCTGACGTTCGCACCTGAAATATCTTTGACAATAACAAGGATATTTTTCAGATACGAGCTTCCCCTCGTCCACCCAAGACCGCCGAATGCAGAAGGGTGCATCACGCGGTGAATGATAGTTTCCTTCTCGCCGGCGGAGGCGATGGCAGATGCCGTCCTCCGCGAGCGCGACGGATACAAATTGAAGCAATTATCAAAATTAAGACGCGGCGGCGTTAAGTGAAATTAGCGGGAGGACGCCCGAGCGGAGGGGAATATGTCGAGAAGAGAAAAGAAAAAGAACAATGGAGACTTTCTCTCTCTCTCTCTCTATCTGCTAAATTACAAAACCTCAGTTAACGATAGTCCCGGTGACCCAGGAGAGCGACGTCATTGTCGTGGGTCATATCCGAGCTTATCCCCCGAGGCTCCGCTCCGTATTACGGAACCGAGTGAGTCAATGAACAAGACGATAAAAAGGCAATCGGAAAATGACGAATCTAAAAAAAACACAGAGAATGCAGGGATCCTGCCGCCGCCGCGCTGTGCTGCCGCGAGAGAGAAACGGCGGCCGTAAATATGCGCTCGTAAAATCCCGCGCGCTGCGCTCGCTCGCGCACACGTGCGCACACATGCGTCACGCGATTTTTTCCAGCGATAAAGCGGTTCACCGCGTGTGTGTGTGTGTGTGTGTATGTGTGTGTGTGTGGACATTTGTGCTTTTATAGATTCTTTTTACGCGCGTATCTCTCTGCCAGCGAGACTCGATCGTCGGATTCGCTCGACCGGCAAGAGTATAACGCGAGAAAAAGAACAATGCCGAGCGTGTTCGCGTGTTCGCCGCGGGAAAACGCGTATTTATCGTGAGAAATTCGCGAGCTCGAAAAATTAATTGGGAGGACGCGTGCTCCTTGTCGAACGAACGCAGCTGGTGACTCGTGAAGTGATATTTTTCTCCCCTTTTTTTTTTTGGAATCGCTTAAATACTTGATAAGTCCTCGGGCCGTTGTTGTTGCGTGACTCTGCGGCGAACGTTCCGGTCAAAGTGGTATTGCGGCTCCACACTCTCACACGCAGAGGAGTGAATTTTATCGGACGGCAACCTCACGAAAATTTACGTCATTCTGTTATTCGATCGTCGCTATCGACGCGCGCTAATCATCGGGACACTTGTCAATTGGGGATGAAAGAGCTTGCGGAAACGTACGTGCGCCGAGTAAAGTGCATACCCCGAATGGGAAATCGTGGATAAACGCAAACATCGCCACGGCGAACGATAGAAGATAAAGCGTCAATAGCGACACACCATTTTGCTTTTAGGCTCTAAAGCCTTTTTGAAGGTGCGAGGTTAAAATTTATTATACATTATGCATGCAAACCAGCCGCACTTCTCTCTAGCAAAATATGTGATAGTCTTATAAAAACTACAACGTATTTTCTTGCAAATAGCTATTTCTTGAAATGTTTGATTTAGAAATAAAGTTGACTAAAATTTAATGAATATTTGCCGATCAAATATTTGATTATCGCAACCAAATAATTAGTTCCGTAATTCCTAAATATACAATCTGCTGCATATGCAGTATGTGGAACTAAATTATTTAGTTGCAGTAATCTGATATTTGGTCGGCAAATATTCGCGAAATTTTAGTATTTATTGCCAAATTCTCTTTTCACCTTTAGTACACTTTAGTCCACACGGAATAAAAATATTGTTGAATGAAGAGTGGAAGAAATATTTCGATTGAATTAAGTGTTTACATCGTGGGCAACCGTAAACATAAACATTTGCTTCAATTACACTCAGTATAACTTCAATTTGCTTCAATTACACTCACTATAACAGTATTTTTCAGATGTAAGACACATATAATTATATATGAACATATATATATGTATATATATAGAAACAAAATTCATACATAATCATTTTTTCCCGGTATGTATTATGAAATGATACTCGAAGACTTTATTAGAAATCAATTAGCGATAACACTCCGGCCTTGTTTTGTTGCAGCAACAGCGGCGGTGGCGATGCACGAGACTGAAACACAATCGCGATGATATCAAACATAGCGGCCAGTTAATTCTGGAATTGATCGATCGACCGTTCAAGATCCTCGATTTATTGTCATTAAACTTATCTCGATCTTTGTGCAATTGACCTTAGTCTCCACAACGGTGGAGGGGATCGACGCTCGGCAGCGGTGGTGGTAAGGAGGGAGGAAAATTATTTTGCTCGCTTTGCGCGCTCGCTGTGTGCGTGTATGTGTGTATGCGCCCGCGCGCGCCTAAAGGCCAATGGACAACGAACGGAGAAACTGCTGGCCGCTGCACATTCAGGGAATACTGAATAATAATCGATGAACGGTGAGTATACGAGCGGATACGCGTTTATATATCACAGTCGACGGCGATACCTCGAATCGATAATAGAAAAGACGCTCTTCGCTCGAAACAATTGCCGGGATCGCCGAGGGATAAGTTTGTGAGCTATCATTGCGCACATTTTTCCCAATGTTTCTCCCTTTTTGTCTTAATCTCCGCTATAGACTACATAAATGCTTTGTGCCTCGCTGCGTTATCTCTTTACATTCGATTAGAAGAAAGTGTATACATCTCCGTGTTAATCGTTCGTAATACGCTGATTACCTTCGAGCGGTTGATTACTTCTCAAAATTATCCGCGTGTTTGGCGTCCGTTTGTACTATCTTCGAGTCGATACCCCCCCCCCCGTGTGGAACGTTTCCGAGGGAAATCATGGCGATACGTGGCGTTTACGCAGAGAGAGAAATCAATTTTATCGGGTTGCAACTTCGCACGAATTTACGTCATTCTGTTATTCGTGACTTCGGGACGTCCCTCTTTATTTAATTCTCTCGCGAGAAGTTATCGGGCAATTACGAGACAAGGGAATTTTACTCAGTTTTTACCTCGATTGTCAGCGGACGATCGACGAGGCTATTTTTCCGGTCCGCCACGACGAGCGTTACTTTCGCCCCGAGAGTTTTCCTCTCGCTGTGCCCGACTTACAGACAGTAACAATCGATGAGAAACAGACATCGGCAGAACAAATCGTCCGTCGATCTCGCTCTATATATATATATATATATATATATATATAAATCAACTTAAAACTCTCGATTGTTTTCACGTGTCATTCGAACAATAATTCGATCGCCACAGATTCGAGACGACGTTCGTTTGGATTCCTTGCTCGTGCAGTACGCTCGTCGGCGCCGTCGCTGCGTCGAGGCCGCCGGCACGTCAGCGTGGCGGCATCTGGCGTCGCGGGTCTCAATCACCGACACGTCAAACGCGGCTGGTCGTCGCTCCAGGTCACCACTTGCGTCAGTCAGTGCGCCTCGCACCGCAAGTCAACGTCAGTCACTGTGGCCCAGTCGTCTCTATTTCGCCGCAGTGCATGATCGTTCTCGACGACGTTGGACCACATTGACGCAAGGTAATGAACCGCTGAGACGCGATGGAGCATGCCGGAGCGCGAAGCGTCCCTGGATGTGATTCGGCTACCGCTACCGTGCTGGAGTTGACGGCTGGAGTCGCGGCATCCCAGCCGTATCACCGCGTTACCTTATCCGGTAACCAGGTGATCCTCACGGAGGAATTCGTTCTCGTGCGCGTGTATGTGTGATGCTGCCTGTCTGTATATGTGCGCTCGCGCGCATTGTGTGTATGCATAAGTATGGTCGTGTGCGTGCGCGCGTTTGTGTATACGCGAGATGCGTGTCAACTGGCAATCCTGTTAACGGATCATGTAAATAATGCGAGGCAAGTATCGTCGTTTTGTGCGGGCATAGCGGAGGTAAAAATACCAGCAGATGTGAGTTAACCAAGTCGGAACAAATTGTTTACGGCGGTACCCAAGGTGCTTGTTTTCAATCATAAACAATTCCACGCGACGTTTAACTTATTTCCGAAGCGTCTCTTATTTGCTTCGCGATTGTTTATAAGCGAAAAACCGAAGCGCTTCCGCCTTCTCCGGCTATGAATAGCTACGGACGGAGATAAGTTGAGTCTTGCAAAAAATCTGGTGCTTCGTACTGAAATCGAGATTTATGACATCCGGGGAAAAAGTTTATGTATGATAAGATTACATATAATTATATGTAACTAGGTATGATTTATATACATGAATTTTATTTCTATAGGACTACATATATAATTATATATTTTTACTTTGTATAAATATGGACACATATTTATACAAGGTAAAAATATTGTTGAATGAATAACGGACAAAAATAGTTCGATTTAAGTGTTTACATCGTGGGTAGCCATAAACATAAGCATTTGCTTCAGTTATATTTGTAGAACATTCTTTAGATGTGGAACATATATAATCATATTTGATTACATGTGGCCATGTAGAGAGAGAAAATTCATATAATAATTTTTTTTCGAGTAGGTACGAATGGAAATAAGTTAAACGTTTGGAAAATTGATTGTTTATCGTTGAAATCTCAAGGTTTGCTTATTTTTCCTCGAGTGAGGAGCTAAGTATTTGAAACATTCATCAGTGGGATTTTTCATCCGATAAGTGTTCCTTGTTATATTTAATATGTGTCGGTGTAACTTAATCCTTCTTGTTCCAGACACTGTGTTACTAAGAAATGGCAGCAGAGGATGCGTCCAATAATTTTGTTAGAGATCCCGAAGTGCGCTTGTCACAGTTTCTGTACGTTGGGAAGGAATATGCCGACTACCACCCTGGAAATTGGTTTGTCCACGATTATTTCCGGGCCGTTAATATTATGTCCATATTAGAACTGGCTGAGAATCCGAAGAAGCAACTGATACCCATTGAATTAATCACAAAGGTGAATATCAAGGCGAAGAAAAAAGAATCGCCCAATATATCATGAAACTTTTGTCGTGATTGTCTCTAAGGTTGAAGGTATTTGCAGGCATTCGACAGCGGCCTTGTCCCTTGCCCAGAGACCTTGGTGTTTGCTCTCGCCGTTTGCTGCAGGCAAATTCAAAGTGAGAAATTACGTCATGAAGCGTACAAAAGCGTAGGAAAGATCTGTGCATCGCAGCAGCACTTCATGCTGTTCGTTAAGTTCGCCTCCAAACTGAGCAAACAGAAGGAGTTGGCTGCGGACGATAGCGCTAAAAGCGGATGGGGTACCGGTCTCAGAAAGGCCGTTAATCAATGGTACCTGTCCAAAGAGCCACTGGACTTGGCAAAATGTGTCACCAGATGCAGGAGTAGATACGGTTGGAAACACAAAGACATCATTAAGTTGTCTCATCCCGTAGCTAATAATCCAGGTAAACATGCAAAACTATGCTTTGTGGAAGAAGCACAAATCTACTTTCTCCGGGATTTGCCAATTTATTCAGTTTGTAAACCCAACGTTATTCTTTTTTCACGTGATTTTGTACATGTATATATGATCGACATGAGGAATTATTAAGCTTTCAGAATAATGCCGATAATTGAGTTGTCCAGTAATTAACGGTTGAGAGATACATAGAAGTTAAATAGTTAAAATATAAGCCGCACCTAGCGAATTTGTGATACACTGCGACAGACGACTGTATCTGTTAATTAATGGTGTAAATGTTAATCAGTCAACTGTTTGACAGAAATGGGAATAGTACTGCAATATATAATACACGGTATGCAACATACCAGAGCGTCATTGGAGAAGGAAGCCGATAATCCGAAAATTAACGAGATCATGGAATACATACAAAATGTCGAAGATTTCAAACACTGCGAAGATGAGATCCGTGCTGCTGCCTTGCTAGAAACACACGACTTATCACTGGATCATGTACCCGGACACTTGTTAACATCCAAGGAGGTAAACATAACGATGAAAATATACAAGAAAACATCTTTTATCGCAATTTATACATGAGGCTCGGGTTGAAAAAACAACGGAACGATGAACATTGCGCCGCTAATCTGTCAAAATTTACAATCTATGCGATGATAATTATGTGCATCTGAGCTCGTCGAAATTGCAGCAAATTCAATAATTTTCCGATCGATTCTAAAAATGATCTCACGTGTAAATAATGGATTCTATGCATAGGTTTGGAAGGCATTGATATCATCGATGGATATCGTCACGCTTCTGAACAACTTGCAAAGAATTCACAATCTCGAAATACTCAAACCAGACGCACCGACGGTTGCGATAATCACGGAAAAGCTGGTCAACGAGGAGCGCTTAGCGCGCGATAAAGTTCATCCGGCGTTAATTTTGATCACCATCAGAAATTACGAGAATTCTGGCAAGTGAGTGTGCGGTTTACACGCACGTGTAGTTTCAAGAAGGAGAATAGTCATTATTTGTAATGATGTTTTTTTTTTCTTTTTTCTTTTCAAGACCTCTAAGCTACGAGAAACGGAAGGTGAAGGAACAAGCGAAGAAACCTCCTCCGCCGCCGCCTAAGCCGAATTCCAGAATAATCGACGCTCTGTACAAGGCGTTGAATCTCTCATTTTTTGTAAGTCGACCCCACACGGTGGCTTAACAATTATGAATTAAACTATTAACACTTTGTGATCCGCCAATGATATCGCGATATGAGAACATTAATATTAACGATATATACACACAGTACAGAAACTGAAATTTATTGCGTTCATTGATGAAAGTATGAAAAATAGCGATCAAAAAAGCTACTGTGACTTAATTTTAACAAGTCCTCATATCGATATTTATTTGCAGCCGAAAAATGCGGCTAAGTGTGAATCATAAGCTCAATTTGTCCGAGTCAGAAGGCACGACAACTTTATAGATAACGCGGGTCGCAAAGTGTTAATTATGACTTAACATTACACACACGATCTATTAAAATATTAAGATATACTTTATGACGAAGCTGATAACACTCCAATGAAATGTGAAATTCCAAGAGAAATTCTGTTTTTTTTTTTATTTCTGTTAAATATCGTTTGTGTACGCGTGTATGATATCAATGCGATTATTTTCAGCACCTGCAACCCACCGGTTTGCGTTACATGGTGACGATCGACATGAACAAGGTGATGTTGGACTCGCGTGCTTGGCGCAACGCCAACATGACCGGCGCCGAGGCTGGCTGTATGATCGCGCTGTCGCTCATTCGATGCGAGAAGAACGTCACCGTGGCGACATTCAAGAACGTCGGGGTGCACACGGTAAACATCGACAAGACGGCGTCCTTCGGCCAGACCATGCGGAGATTGTCGCAGATGCCCGTTGGAAATGTCAACCTGGCTAAACCGATGTCGTGGGCCGCGCATCAGAACAACAAGTACGACGTCTTCATCAACATCGTAGACCAAGTGCACGCCAAGACGGACACGTCCGAGGAAGCTTTGGTGGCGTACAGGACGAAACTGAAACTACCGCACACAAAGTAAGCGTCCGTCGTCTCTTACGTTATCGCAATTTTTGAAAGAGATGCAGCGGTTGCTATTTATGACGGTTTATCTTTATACTTCAACTTAACGTTGGCTCTCGCAGGTCTCCTTATTTTTACATTTTGATTGCACACCACCGAACCTTTGTATATATATTTACCTTTTACAAGCTTTGTATATATATTTACCCTTTACAAGCTTCACGAATACAACGTTCTTTTTGCAGGCTGATCAATTGCGCCGTATGCTCTTCCTCGACGTATTACAAAGCGAACCCCGACAAAAATATCCTGACGATCAACGGTTTCGACGCTACCGTACCTACTGTCATTCGGGCGTTCGCTAAGTCTCTATTCTAAACACGGGTACGCGTGTAACTTATAAACTGGTAAACAGTATCAATGTTACGGACGATCCCATCTCTCTGTCTGATGTTAACGCTTTCTCATTTGTATCACCTGCAGGAGACTCCGCTGGACATCCTTCCCCGGGAAGGACCGAAACGATTTGAACGGGAAGGAAATTAATCTTGTTGAAACGAATTTTCACGTGGCAAGTGAAGAGACACACACACACACACACACACACGCACGCACACACACGCACGCACGGCCAGTTCAGGAAGCCGACAATGGGATTACGGATTTTCCCACGAAAAAAATCTATTCAATGGAGTCAAATTACGACGGACGAGTACAGTCGGTGGANGGGGGGGGGGGGGCTTTCGCAGATTACTTAAAAAAAAAAACAGTGCCGAATTTTGGGATTCAAACTCTCGCCTTTTTTTACCAGTTCCGGAATGTCGGTTCGATTGCACACTCATGACTGAAATCAAATTATTTAACTTCGCTACATTATCTCTCTCTCTCTCTGATCATTTTAAGGTCTAACAGAGAGGGACGTTATTTAGAGCGTACGGTAGATAGACGAGAAGATCGTTATTGAGAGCATAGTGTGTAAGTGATCGTGCATTATTATCCGGCACGTGTCGACAGTTAATATTTACTGCATGTTCTTAGCGTTAAGGAAGAGAGCTGTGTAGCGTTTTCCTTTGATTCGTTAACGGCGTATGAAAAAGAAAAAAGATCGGGTATTTTTTTACTCCGGTTTGAACTTTCGACGATACCTACTTAAACGTAACTCGGCGATCTTATTTTTTCAACGAGACCTTACAGCACAGTGTTGTGTCGACCTCAACATATAAGCAATATAGATTAGTTAATATGGACCACTCTCCTTATTAAGCTGTTGCATATGAATTCTCGCGTGAAATCTTGAGAGCCGTCAGACTGAATATTTCGTCGATGAAACTTGCCATCATTTTCTTTTTTTTCCTTTCTTCTGGCTTTCTTAGAATTATAAATTTTAACTTGTCAATTGAAATGTATAATTCTTCGAAATTAAATTTTTCCAAATACTATTAAATAGAGGAAAGATTCCAGCTTTCGTTAAATTTAATTATGAACACAACTGTGATGATTTTTTTAGATTTCTTCTTTGCGTAAGAATATTGGTAATACGTATTATTATTATTATTTTTTTTAGATTTCACCTTGCGAGAATTGAAACTTCGAGACAGCATGTGCAACCGCGTAATAATCTCTCGCGTTTGAAAAACTTACAAAAAGGGAAGAGTACAATTCATTAGTCCTGTGTTTCAATAGTCCATATTACGTGAGACGACGACGCACTACGCAGCAAAAAGGAAGTTAGGATAAGACTGCATAACGGATACAGGAATACGTATCTCGAGTAACCTTAACGGTGCATTTTTTGACTAATGGTAATGAAGAAAAGGAAGTCTTACCTAATATTATATTTGCTTGTTTGTTTCCACTGGTTGACGGCGATGCTTCTTCGTAATATAGCGCGTAATAGACTTTTAACGTGACCTTGAAAAGGCAACACACACATCTGGAACCGTGGTGCGCTTCTGGACGGTTAAATAATAATCTAAAATAAGTAAAAGGAAAAAGACAAAAAAAGATGAAGAAAGAAAGAAAGAAAGTGAATGACGTGAAAGAACGATGAACATAGGAACGTTGAAAATTCTCCCACTGTGATATGCATTTAGCCCCAAAGAGTTATAGACTTACATTAGTATAATTTTACTGTTACTATCTCATATTTGCCATATCCAAAGTGAATGCGAGACAAATACTAAATACACTACTGAATAATACTGTGATACGAGATACATTGTTGTTGTTCAAACTAGGGAAATGATATTTAAGCGACGCGGCCAGAAGCGCACCGCGTTTGTAATATTTGTTGAATTAGTCCCCACGCGAATTAGCGCGCGAATTTTCCGTTGAAAATTCTGCAAGTCGTATTCCGACAAGAAATGTGTAATTTTTCGATTCGCGGATTACCGTCCCCCGGGGTTTTTCCCGTTGTGCTATGCTTATTACGAGCCTTCGTTATGCGTTATACGTTTCCTTGTTACGGTACAACCAACGATCAAATGGATTGTTTTAAAGAACTTATAAATTTTTTTACGAAACTACCATATGTATAGTTATTTTTTTTTTTCATTCGAGAATACCAGTGACCTAAATTGAGAACAATTTGCAAGATAAGAGAGAGAATGTTCGCAATAATTTATTCAATTTTAATATTTCATGCATTGTTAATATAGTTTCGTAGAGACCGAATAACTTCGAAATTTCGTTTATTACAACGTAATTGAGACACATTGTTAAAAAAAATATGCCTATAAAATATCGTGTAGAAGAAATTTGTTTATACTCGGTAATCTGTGGATCGAAAGTTATCGATATGCGAATTCTATTTCAATACATGGTATTCCGAAAAAGGAAAAAAAAGTATATAAATAGGCTATTCTTTAAACAATCTATCTTCGATCTACTCTTAACGATTACAAAGTCTAGTTACTAAAAATTACAGTCGTAGTATTGTTGGCAAGTCGATCTTACGGGAAGAGTTGATTTTTTTATTATCGATTGTCAAGAGACATTTAGAGATAAGTTGAATTTTCTCAAAGTAGAATCCAAATTCCGTATGTATTCAGGAGAGACATGTATATCTATTATGAGGCGCATTATACGTAAAGCGATTATATAGCAAACTTCTTGTACAGGAATTCCAAGCGGCGCCGTAATACGTTTTACCGGCGTAAATTAGCGTAAGAATTGCATTTTAAAAGAAAATTCACACAAATGATTTTCACAGTCTCGTCTTGCGCGGCGCTTCTCTCTCTCTCTCTCTCTCTCTCTCTCTCTCTCTCTCTCTCTCTCTCTCTCTTTCTTTCTCTTTATTTCTTTCTCTCTTTGTTTAGAAAATTTTATACGAACTATAATTTATCCGGTGTAACAGTATCTGTTAGATGGGCTGTTCCTAATCGAATTTCGTGTTTCGCAAATGTTACGCTTAGAGAAATTATTTATATATTCGCTATACAAACACATACACACACACACACACACACACACACACACACACACACACACACACACACACAACAAGCGCATCTCATGTTCACACACGTTTGGCATCAGTAGAATCACATCACATTATTTTTACGCGACAATTGGCGGCGCGAGGGCGGAACTTCTTCGGGAAAACGAAGCGTCTAGTTTAATTACTAATACGAGAGTTTAAGAATATATATGCTACGATTATACTAGTAGCTCAATGTATTCGCTGGCATTAGCAAGTAGGCATTACAAGTATTTGTATATGTACGGGAATGCGCCACGACCGGAGAGAATTCGTCGGAGAACAGCTTCCTTTCTTTAAGCACGACAACAATCGAAGGACTCGACTCTCGAAACTCGGCTGATACCGATATCTCAACTCAAGTGATACCGTAAACAGATTCTTCGCAACTTTCGCAAAAGTATCGAGACTCCTCGCCAGAATTAAGACTATCGGGCTCTCTTATCGCTGTCATTTTGATTGATAACGGACAGAAACAAAAGAATGCGCTCAAAATTTTCGCAAAATACGTTCGATTAAAAAAAAATATGTCCGGAAAATATTTTTAAAAATCATCTATTAAACGAACGAAACGTGTTTAAAAAAATTAGAATACTCCTTTAATTTTATAGCTAAATATCTATTCATTATTGGAGCAACAGGAAAATTCCCGGATTACAAGACTGCTCGATCGATCACTTTTCGGACACGTCTTTTCCATCAAACGTATCTTACAAGAATTTCAAGCGCCTATTTCTCCGCTTCTAACTTGCTATTGATCGAGGTGATCGCGACAAAGAAACGGGAGACTTAACTATATAGGCGAAGCTGTATCGCGTGCTGTTCGCGAGATTCAACGGACTCGAACTCAGAATCTTCTCGGGTCGCGGTGCACGAGACGGATCTATGTATTCACTAATTACTATATAAAAATACGTCCGAAGTACACGTATAGACTGGCAGACGAAGGAGAAAACGGGGATAAAAAGAGAAAAAAAAAGGAGGCGGAAGTCAGGGGAGAAAGCAGTGTGCAGATGGCAAAACCTGAAGAAAGAGAGATTACCGTACGCTTCTCTGCACCGTTATTTCACGGTCCGTTGATTTCAGGATGCGAATCTGCACGAATTGATCAAGCGAGAAGAACGTTATACGGGGGAAGAGGAGCAAAAAAAAAACGAAACAATATGTTGAATGTGTTCATGCTAGATGAAGAGAAAAAAAATTAGATGAAGACGAAAAAGAAGAAGATGAATATTTACCGCGTAAAAGAGGAAGGAGAGAAATAATAGAGGATGTGGAGTGAAAATTCCGCGATCACTACGTAGTTATTAACGTGGAGGAGGAGGGGAAAGAAGAGAAGAGAGAAGGATGTAACGGGGAATCGAGAGGAACGAAGGAAGCGGAAGAGAGGACTGTCTCGAAGGAGACACGTGGGAGACACCCAACGCACACACGTGTCGCTCACGGCGGCTCGATCGCGTTACATTCTGTGGCACTTGTCGATACCAACGGCGAGGGGGGGGGACGCAAAATATCAAACCTCTTCGCCGAGGTTCCGGGCTGACCGTTGATTTCGACCGGGGAGCATGCGGGGAAAACCTATTTGTCCGACTCGTACGTAGTGTTTCATTGCGCCATTCGGATACACATCGTTGACTCGTCGCGATTCGCAGCAAATCATTCGCGGAGTCTGCATAGGGCTAAGTGCTCGGTTGCGGCAACCCGGTTGACTAGACGGCGTCCCGTTTGACCGATCTTTTTTCACGGGCAGAGGGGATGCGACGTACCCGGGTGAAAAAAGGCACTTCTTTGTAGCACCGCGCGAATTGTGAGATTTACGTTCAAATTACGGTGCTTTCGTGAGAGGCTCCCTCTTCACGTAATTGTATTATTAGATTAGTGACCAGAAAAGTGCGTTTCGCCATGGGGATACTTACGTTCTTCGCGGCTTATTGTTGTAATTTAAATTTCCTTACAGACCTATGATCTCGTTTATACACCGATCCTTTATACCTGTATCGATTGATAATATTTTATAATCTTTATTTCGCGCTTCTCTTTCTTAGTCGTATGCAGACTTATGCCTGGCTGAGAATACACGAGTACGAAACAGCGCCCCATGTTCCTTAGGAGCATATATATATATATATATATATATATATATCGTATATATATATATATATAAAGGAAGAAATGAAACAAAACTAATAATTCCATAATTAGTACACTGTCGCTTCTCAACGATCCGATAAGAAACTGGAGAAAGTGCTCAAACGCCCGAGTAGTTTGAAGTTCTCTTTTCGAAGCAGCAAATGCCAAAATAAGTACACGAGAAACGCGCAAAAAGAGAGAAAAAAAGTATAAACGATATATGCAACTCTATTGTACAAACCGCAATGAAATACCTCGTTACTTGTTCACAGTGTAAAATAGCAAAGCGAATTGTACTAACTCTGCGAGTTACAACGAAAAAAAAAAAAGAAGAAAAAAAGAAAGACGACATTGTCCTCCCAGTTCGTGATTCACGCACTGAATGAACGCCTATCTTTTGGCCTTACTTTTTTATATATACACACGGAAATCCGTCGTGAAGAGGGCGAAATATAGTACGATTGATTCGCAGGCCAACAATTATATATATACTCGCTGCTGCCCGTTTCGGCCGTTTTATATACTGATCGTTCCGGAATTACACGTCGAATTGCGAATTGTTACTTTCTGTTCTGTCCTTTTGAGGAATAGTATTATTATTCGTAGGTCGCGTATTCTCGCGAAACACACACACTTTTCGGTGATTTATGGTGCATATATGTATAAATATATTTATCGGAATTTAGATGGAAATCGAAATGGGAAACGCGTTCTCGCAGCGAGGCTGCATCGGAGGAGTGCCGGGATCCAAATTTTGCTAGAATCATTCAGCGTCATTCGCCGCTTTTCATTTCCCAGCGTCGCGAAAATTCAGCGTCAGGAAATTCAGAAGCTTGGTAAAATTAACACAATATATTATATATTTCGATAATATATTATATATTCTCTGCTAGTATAATGATTGCCGAAACGACGATAAAGTATTATTCACACGATGTAGATCCTTGATAGGAGGTCGAGATGGGAAATCATCGAACGACGATTCCGAAATTCGGTCCCGTCGGATTCGCAGAATCCCGCCGAGCTCTTCTCCGACACAGCTCGTGAATTCTTCACCCTATCGACACTCGCGCGCAAAAAAAAAAGGGAAGAAAAAAAGTGTTCGTTGCACACGATTTCGACGTTATTTTTATACCTGAGTAAATTCGTGAAATGTCACGCGAGCCCAGCGATTGGACTGCTCTGTGTAGACGAACGTCAGTGAACTCCGCGTAGGGGGCGAATTGTGTCTTACTGTCGTCGGAAATGATTGCATTTCGGTGAGAAGAAAAATACTATAGGCGGATGAAAGGATTATAAATAATAGGGAGAATTGATTATCGCGTCTACAAATTCCGTGCTGTTTTTGTTACAGTGACATGAACTGGATCCTTGAATAAATTTCTCAAAATCCACCGGCGTATTTGTTTGTAACGTGATTCAACCCTATGTGTCTCTCTCCTTCTCACGTCGCACAGTAGTCAAAACTGCATGTCGCAAATTATCTTTATAAACATTCAGCACAGATTTCCCGAGCTTCTTCGTGTTGCATTAACCGTCACTTTTCTAATAATTATTTATTATTATATAGAATAATTATCGATATTTTCTAATAATTAAATATTTCCTGATAAATATTGTAAAGGGCCAACTAGCTTCGAGGCATCGCATGGACAATTCCATCTCACGGGTGAATTTCCATTTACTGAAAAAATCTTTATTCTTGTGATACCGATACATATTGCAACATTCACGCACATACGCATATACGGATACATGGTACATAGTACGATGCAGTCCGGCGGCAGTTTACGAGTCTACAAGACCGCAATACTCGCGCAAATCCCATTCATTCCCATATCCAATCGCATACACTCTAACAAACTTGTAACGAGCTTTATCATTATTATTATTATTATATAGATTAATCGTTATTCGGACTTAATAGAACATATAAAACAATTCGAAATAAATTAACGACGCAGTACTGTGTGTATGTGTCTCTCTCTCTCTCTCTCTATGTCTGTGTTGGTTTGTTTGTTTTAAAAGGAGAACGAGAAAAGCGTCGGGAAAGTCTCCTTCCTCCAGACTCCTCCCGACGGATCTTTCGAGAGGGTCCAAGTGATTCCTCCTGGCAAACACGATACAGAATAATAACGGGCGATTGTTCCACAGTCCACCGTGTGATATCTCCTGCGATCCGCAGGTGTTTGCGCGCAGTCAATCGCGTTTACGAGGCGAGCCTTCGGGCACCGGACGTCGTCGTCGTCCTCCTCGTCGCTCCCTATCTCGTAAATATATCCGAGCCGAATTTTAATTGTCGTCGCCTGAAACTCGTCTCACGTGAGTTACTCAAATCTGAATACCGTGTTCGATCTGAGGTTTCCACTTGAATTGTCACCCTACATTCGTAATCGCTATTCGACCGGAAAACTCGCGGATCTAACCCGAAATTGAAATCCGAGTGTCTCACTCGAGACAAGTTTCAAGCGACGACTGTCGACACGGGACTCGAAGACCAGCGACTGAGACAGGGGAGGCGTTGTCACAAAATTCCTAACAAAACAATATTGCAACAGAGAAAGGAGCAGATAACGCAGAGGTTTCGACGTTCAACGATCGCCTCGAGAACGCGATCAACTCCGAGCCACTCGGCGAGCACTCGCGACCGAGCTACGACGAAACGAAACTCGCGTTGTCACATCTGCCACTCCGTGCGATTTCGCTCGACATTTGTTTCACGCTGACTCGGCCGGAATTCTGCCGCGAACGTGCATCGTTAACTCTGCACATCCTACGCAAACACAAGTGACTAGCGCGCCTCACACGGGGCTACTTTCCAACAGAGAAAAACGCAAGAGAGTACAACGGATAAAAAGTTGACATTTTTCCTTTTTTTTTACATATTCATAGCGCTCGACTAATATTCTCTCTCCTACGTGTCGCTATGAATCGCATAGAGATTTTAAAAAATCCGACTGATCTCCTCTCTCGACGTCCATCGTAAGCATTCACTCACACTTTCATTGAATGCAGACACGGACTCTCTCTCTCTCTCTCTCTCCCTCTTTCTTTCTTTCTTTATTACGTAACGAAGACTTCCATTCCCACTGTACATTTAGCTCCGCTTGTCTAAATTATCATAGAAACCGGAGAGTAGCGTTTGCTCGTTCACTCCCGTTGGACAGATCCGAGCGAGGAACGCGAACGCCGTACAGACAGTGTAATCCTCTCTTCATCTTACAATGTATTACATTACTACAGGTTACTTGAGTAAAACTTAGAACGGTCAAGTTTTGTTTTTTCCGGCTAAACGCACAGCGAGAAAGCGCGACCGTGTGAATGAACGTGTAAACACTTCCAACTCCTCGCAACGTCACGACAGAACTTCTGTAAGGTATTTGCTCGGGAGGTGAAGTTAATCAGTCTATACCGCGAACCGGAGCGGGCGAGTCGTCAGCAGCTTGTAGTTAAAGCTCGTCTTTGAGATCCTCATCGTCGCCGGCAGTGGGTGGGACACCGCCGCCGCCGCCCGCCCCCTGGTAGAGCTTGGCGATGATCGGCTGCACGATGTCGGTGAGCTCCTTCTTCTGCTTCTTGTACTCTTCCGGCTCGGTGTCCTGGTTGTCCTCCAGCCACTTGATCTTCTCCTCGATCGCCTCCTCCATCGTGGCCTTGTCGGCGTCGCTCACCTTCGAGCCGAGCTTCTCCTTGTCGGCCAGCTGGTTCTTCAGCGAGTACGTGTACGACTCGAGGTCGTTGCGCGCTTCCACGCGTTCCTTCAGCTTCTTGTCGTCGTCGGCGAACTTCTCCGCGTCCTTGATCATCCGCTCGATGTCGTCGGGCGTCAAACGGTTTTGGTCGTTCGTGATGACGATCTTCTCGCGGTTACCGGTGCCCTTGTCCTCGGCCGACACCTGCAGGATGCCGTTCGCGTCGATCTCGAAGGTCACCTCGATCTGCGGGATGCCGCGCGGCGCCGGCGGGATGCCAGTCAGGTCGAATTTGCCGAGCAGATGGTTGTCCTTGGTCATCGGACGCTCGCCCTCGTACACCTGGATGGTGACGGTGTGCTGGCTGTCGGACGCCGTGGAGAAGATCTGCGACTTCTTCGTGGGGATGACGGTGTTCCTGGAAAAATTCACATCGAACGTCTCGTTCAGTGATCAACTTTCGGTTTTTGCTGGCGCGATATTATTCTGATGTCTGAGAATCCAAAGACATCGATGCGAACTCCGCCGGATTAAGAATTAATTAGTCGAGGATTTAAGTATTAGGGGGACCGGAAAGTAATGTCGTTTCTGCGCATGTCGAAATTCGTTTGTCATTTATCAGCTCATTGTGTACTTCAAAGTCGTGCCAAAGACATTTTAAGTTAGAGTGACTTGTTTACTTGTCAATAATTATATCTTAAATTTTTTTTTGCAATTTATGGTGAAATGGCCAACCAAATACCAGAAGAGGTACATATCCGGTATTGTATGCTTTTTGAGTTTCGCAAGGGTAGTAACGCAACAGTTGCTACCAAAAACATTTGCGATGTTTATCTAAGTGCATTAGACGTTCGTAAATGCCAAAGGTGATTTTCTAAGTTCACATCCGGTAATTTTGATCTTTCTGACTCGTACCGATCAGGAAGAGCAACAACTTTAGACAATGACATGTTAAGGGCGGAAGTGGAAGCAAATCCGTGTCAGACAATCGAGGAACTGTCAAACACTTTTAACCAACTTTAGTCGGCCATCCAAGAACATTTGCAGCAGATTGGTAAAGTAAGCAGAGCAGGTGTTTGGATCCTGCATAATCTGTCCGAAAAAAACAAAGCTAACCGATCCACCATATGCAACTTATTGCTTCAGCGGCACAATACAGAAGCGTTTTTTGATCGCTTGATCATTGGAGATGAAAAATGGGTCCTCTATGATAATCCAAAACGCAAAAGGCAGTGGCTCTCTCCGAATGAATCGCCACAAAGTACAGCTAAGCCAGGTTTACACACCAAAAAGGCGCTTTTGTGTGTTTGGTGGAGTATTCGCGGGGTCGTTCATTTTGAAGTGCTGAAACATGGACAAACTGTAAATGCAGACCTTTACTGTGAACAATTGGATCGAGTAAATTAATCTTTAATTGAAAAGTACCCAGTGATTGTCAACAGAAAAGGCGTTATTCTGCAACACGATAATGCAAGACCGCACTGCGCAAGACGAACCCTGGAAAAAATTAATGAATTGGGTTGGGAGGTATTGCCTCATCCACCATACTCGCCCGATATTGCGCCATCGGTTTTCCATTTATTCCGATCGCTGCATTTTCTAAGTGGCAAAAAATTTGAAAATTTGGATGATGCGCAAAATGCCATCTCCAGATATTTTGTTAAAAAATCAATTGATTTTTATCGATCCGACATTAAAAATTTGCACACTAGATGGCAAAAGGTTGTTGATAACGAGGGTGATTACATCATTGATTAAAAATTAAAACTTGTTAAAAATTTATCTGTTTGAATTTAATGTGAAAAGACGACATTACTTTCCGGTCCCCCTAATAGTATCTGTGATGGATAGGGGATTTAAAAAATAATTCCGAAATCTAAAAACTTAACAATGAATCTAACAATGTGATTGCTTTCTGAAAGAACAAAATGTCCAGGGAAATTTCTAGAAATCGTAATACATACATAGTTTTCAGAAATTTAACATATATTCAATTCACTTGAAAGTGGACAACCGGAAGTTTTCCAAGAATCTAAAAGTTACAGTATATACGTGATATGCAAGAATTCAACGTATTTCATTCACCTTTGGGTGTGTAAAAAATCGAAAATCGATTGAGCCTCCCTAACCGAGATGCGCATGAAAGCAACTTCAACTAGCAGAAAGCACTTTAAAACTTACCTTGGGATCAGTTTGGTCATCACACCTCCGACCGTCTCGATACCCATGGTGAGAGGATTGACGTCGAGAAGTACGATCGCATCCGTGTCCTGTTCTCCAGAGAGCACTCCAGCTTGCACGGCTGCGCCGTAAGCGACAGCCTCATCGGGATTGATGCCTCGCGACGGCTCCTTGCCACCGAAGAATTCCTTCACCAGCTGCTGAACCTTCGGGATCCTGGTCGAGCCACCGACCAGGACAATTTCGTCCACGTCTTTCTTGCTCATGTCGGAATCCTCCAAGACCTTCTGCACAGGCTTCAGGGTGCTGCGGAAGAGGTCCATGTTCAGCTCCTCGAATTTGGCACGGGTCAGGGTCTCGGAGAAATCTTCACCCTCGAAGAACGATTCGATCTCGATCCTCACCTGCACATACACATCATTGCACGAACATTAGATTCCCGAGAAAGAAATGTACATAACAACCGCTCAAATTAGAAGATAAGATATTAGAGAACTCGAGGCTCCCAGCTGCAGTCGTCTCGTTTTGATGACGTCAGAAGCGAAGAAACGCATGCCCGAAGTTCTTGCAAAATGCAGTGAAATAAAAGGACGTAGAAAGATAGAAAGATCCCGGGCGAGATAGCCTGAAAATATTCATGTAGAAGAGAACGTATACGCACTTGGTGGCTGGCGCTGAGCGCTCGTTTGGCCTTCTCGACCTCGCGACGCAACTTCTGCACAGCTCGGTTGTCCTTGCGAATGTCTTTCCCCTTCTTCTTCTTGTACAGCTTGATGAAGTGGTCCATCACGCGCTGATCGAAGTCCTCACCTCCCAGATGAGTGTCACCGTTGGTGGCAACGACCTCGAACACACCGTTGTCAATGGTGAGCAAGCTGACGTCGAAGGTACCGCCGCCCAGATCGAATACCAATACGTTCTTCTCGCCGTCTTTCTTGTCCAAGCCGTACGCGATCGCGGCGGCAGTCGGCTCATTGATGATCCTCATCACGACCAGACCGGAGATAGTTCCGGCGTCCTTAGTTGCCTGCAACGACAAGGAGAATCAGGACCTCGGATCAGAAAATTAAAAATGGAAAAACGTTCCAGTCGACTCGCTCGCTTTTATTTCCGACTAATTTTGACGCTGCCGTCTCAGCGCTACTAGCGCGGAATTTTTCGTAAAAATATGCGAGTAAGACCGGCTATTTGACTCTTCTGGTCCGTCGTTTTGCATAACATTCGCCCGGTTTGTGTTGGATTTTTATCGGCTGTCGGAACGTTGAACTCAACTCAGTAGACGGACATATCTCACCTGTCTCTGCGCGTCATTGAAGTATGCCGGAACGGTAACCACCGCGTGGGTGACCTTCTTGCCGAGATACGCCTCAGCGGTTTCCTTCATCTTGCCCAGCACCATAGCGGAGATCTCTTCGGGCGCGAACACCTTTTCGCCCTGGCTGGTCTCGACTTTGATGTGCGGCTTGTTGTTCTTCTCGATCACCGGAAACGGGAAGAATTTCACATCGTGCTGCACGGTAGGGTCCGACCACTCACGGCCGATCAATCGCTTCGCGTCGAACACGGTGTTCTCCGGGTTCGTCGTCAGCTGATTCTTCGCGGCGTCGCCGATCAGACGCTCGCCGTCGGCGGTGAACGCCACGTACGAAGGCGTGATTCTGTTACCCTGGTCGTTGGCGATGATCTCCACGCGGCCATTCTTGTAAACGCCGACGCTGAAAGACGCGAGTGACAAAAGTACGATTAACTCGCTCAGGTGGAACACGATCTCTTCAGGTGGTCTCACTTCATGTCGTCTTCAGGTAACGTGTACTCACCAGGAATAAGTTGTACCCAAGTCGATTCCTATCACCGTACCGATGTCTTCCTTCTCTTTGTCCTCCTTCGCGATCGCAGCGACCGTTAGCAGTCCCAGTATCAGTAGAGCTTTCGCCTCCTTCATGTTGGATGCTTTCTTGTGAACTTCGCCTAAATCGCAAAGAAATTCCAGAATTAACGCATGTAGTCAGATCTTAAATTCTTCCTGACTAGTTGATTTAACAGCAACATCACAGGACTACATAATCATTGATATAGAAAATATCGCACATATGTTAAATGATATATATTACACGTATTATTTTATAACAATATAATTTAATAATTATGTAATAGTATAATTTAATTCGTTGGTAATTATGTCAGTGCCAGATAAATTATGTACGAAGATCTCAGCATACTTCTTGTCAAGTGCAAAAGTTAACATGATAATGACTTAACATCGCAAAAGTAGACTCCGTCGGAATGAATTTTTTTTCGGGGGAAGGGGAGGATACCTCCGCAAATTGTATTGCGAGAGAACAATGTGATATCATTGCAACAACCATATTTGGACCGCACTTTGTGCCTCCATTCTTGACATCTGGCACTGAACATATCTCTCGATATCTGACGCGATATTCCTCGCAATATCGCAAATCCAACTTAAATTTAACGAATTAGCCGCGAATTAAGAGGAAATTAATTTCTACGCCGTCACGAGAGAAAGAGAGAGAGAAAGGTCTCACGAAAAGAGCAGCGTCGGGTCTGATAAATGTGTCACACGTCATCTCTCCACCTTCCGAGGCGGCTGCACGAGATTTCAAGACATCGCACTTCGGGCGATCGACTAGGTACCGATTCGATGACGGCATCTCCGTCGGGACGACGACGAGAACACGCGGCACCACGTTCGACGGGGCTCGCCCGCGGACATATCGGGCGAATCACGCGATCAAACGTGGCAGAAGACGTAGCTGTGACTAGTCCCGGCATAAAAACCGTCTTCGACGTCGAACTTGAGCAAGTGTACGCAGAAGCCGCGAGAAAAGTTACCGAGCCCGGCCGGTGATCGAGAAAATCGTCCCGTAAGATCGCCCCGAAAGTTTCGGGAGACTAAGGATTCCCGGACGGCCGACGGCAACGGAGCGAGTCCGACGAACGGAGCGGAATGTCCGAGCCGCGATTTCCGGGCGAGCGAGGTACAAATCGGGAAGGCGAAATCGCATTCACTCACCGGTGTCGGATATCGGTGTTTTAAGCAGATATAAGTCGGTGCTCGCACAGACCGTCCTGTCTTTCTCTCTTTCTTTCTCTCTATTCTTTCACGCAGATACGTACGTCGTCGATCTCACCGAGAAACGGTACAGCGATGACTGATCTCGACTGCAAGCGCGAGGCCGGGATATTAACGGGAGCGTTTCGTCGTGGCCGACGCCAATTGGCCGCGCGAGCGCAGCGCTCGCGGAAGGCCAATCCACCGATTGGCCACGGGCTATACTGTTGGCCGCAGTGCGTTGGCCCACGTCACGGCGTACCACTTCCAGAACTTTCGCGCGTCCCCGCGATTGGCGAGCGGCCGATTAGATACGACGCGGGCTACACGTGGTAACCAGCCCGGCGGATTCGAGGGTGCGCGGGGATGCCGTCGTGCGCCTGTCGCGCCCATGCTTCTCGAGAGCGGCGGAGGAAGAGAGAAAGAGCATCGGCGCGCTGACTACCCACGTCGATATCGATAATACGTCATTATCGCGCGGTATCGAGAGTTGAATTCAACCGAGTCAAGAGTTTCGTCATGGAAAAACAACGAGAGGACACGTATCATGTTACGTATATCCGGGAGAAAAAGATCATATATATATATGAAATTTGTCCGTATATGATCGTGTATAATTGTATATAATCATTTTCCCGCAAGTAAGCGTGACGAAATAATCCATCTTAGAATCTTGCGAAATAATCCATCTTAGAAATGTTGGATTGAATTTTGGAGAAAAGAACTAAATAAATGTTGGATAGAATTCTAGATTAAATTATTATTATGTAATTATTGGAGTAATTAAATTGAAAATCATTACGTCACATGCCACAGGCAGCGAGAAATCGTTTGCAGACGCGAGCATACAGGCTCCCATGAAATTTTATTGCAATCTCAAGTGTACACCTATCGCATAGATACAAAATAATTATTTAATTAATAACATAATTACTTAATTAATTACAATAATTAATTACAACCAGGGGATTGCGTCGCGCGGCTTGATCGTCGTTCGAGATACTGATGCAACCGAACTTAAAAAGAAATTAGATATACGTGTATCAATTTGATATGAATCATGTATACGAGTATATATATGTCATGCATGTAGAAATATAGTTTGTACGCGATAGCACGTATGTCGCAACGCTAAAAATTGGCGAAAGTATTTAATCGACTTTAAAATTTAATAATTAACAATAAAACGGTTGTCTCATTTTTATGTTACTTGATATCAAGGAAAATGTTTTTAATAGAAGCACTTTATATTATATCCTCCATTTATTGGCGCGTGTTTTGCTAAAAATTATGCAACACAATCTTGTTTTAGACCGTAACCCTTTTATACATTTAAAAAGACAAAAATACTCCCGATTTTCCTTACGAAATTGTACAAAGTTTTAAGGAACGAACGTTTAAAGATAAGATTTGATATTTTACTGTAATTGCGCTAAGCTCTGCTTGTACGCATGTACGTACACATGCAATCACGCATCCGTGACACTTTTCCCGTCTAACGGTACGTGTCCGTTATCTCAGGTAGTGGGTTAAGCGGAACACGTATTTACTCACCGGGTCGTCTCACGTTATTATATCTTTCGACTCCTTCTTAACAAAATCATCTACAATTATCTACAAATCCACGTACTAATCTCAACGGGATTTAACAGGTTTGTTAACTCGAAACGCAACTTATAACAAATGCATATGTAACAATTTGTTTTTTATAATTGCAATTAATTGCGATTGTCACCAATGATTAATTTATAACTTTGTACGCCAGCTTAATTACTGCTGGTTTCATTGCAAAAATCATAGTAAAATCATAGTCAAAAATCATTCTATTAGTAAAATCATAGTATGCAAAAATATGCAGTGATTTTCCGGTATGTTAAAAATCATTTTCGATATTTGTAATGTGTATATTGTATATTGTATATGTTGTATATTGTCTTTTTCGAGCGCTTTCAAGTAGAACACAATTTAACTTTTGGGGCCTTTGCACAGGAACGTCCGTAACGCGTTGGGTTACATTAAGTGGTGACGGAAAACTTTAGTCTATACGTAACAGTAAACTTAGATCAACGCACAAAGAAAATCGTAACATAAAAGCGTAATTATGTGTGATCATATAAATTCTACTGAAGTAAAAAAAAACCACTGGAAATTAGTCGAAACAAATAGATGTCATCCATTTGGTTATTTGAAGCATGAATTATGAAAAGTCTGGTTTTCCCAATCTCTCGTAAACTACCAACGTCTCGAGACATTTTCGCTCGGTATTTTCCGATCCAAATTCTTATGAGGAATATGTTGCGTAAATAGTTAATTAAAAATTTATATATGTCCTTTATATATATATATTTATAACATCCTTTATATACGTATATATGTTGCGTAAATAGTTAATTAAAAATGTATATATGTCTTTTATATATATACATTTATAACATCCTTTATGTACGTATATATTAAGACTGCTGCGTAAATTTACACAATGTGATGTAATATCTCGTCGTAGACGGTCCTGTGCAGAAATCCTTAGCCTCACGAAGTTCCAACAATTGAATTCTAATATTTGGATTTTCTGTACCATGCATTTAAAAGTAAAGGAGTAAAGTACGTTATGATGCAGTCAGCACCGGCTCTCCTCATGGCGGTTATTGATTCGACTACTCCGTTCATTAATTCGAACACATTATTATTCGCAGCATGATGCAACATGGCGTATTCTCCTGAGACTTGGTACACAAATAAAGGATATTCAGGATGGGCATCCTTTATACGTTTGACTATATCCAAGTAAGGCAGCCCTGGCTTCACCATTAGCATGTCCGCTCCTTCGTTTACATCTCTTGCCTTTAACGAAAAGATGTCAAAAATTATATAAAATCTACAAGTGTGTCACGTGAGAACCAAATTTCAAGTAACGAATATTAATATGAGCCTGAGTATCTGCATTATGCAGAACGAACGCACGGCATCTTGCATTCTGTTACAATTTTTGCGAAATCAATGCGATACGTTCTGTATACAATTTACGTTTTTTCTTATATAATAAAATTATACTTCAGGCGTAATTATTAATGGATTTTTACGAATTTGGCAGTTCTACGTAACATATCATTGTAGAAGAGCGATGTGAACGGCAATAAACGGAGTAACAATAAATGGAATGAAACTTACGGCTGCTCTGACTGCCAATCCAGCGCTACCAGAGGGTAACTGGTAACATCGGCGGTCGCCCTTTGCCGGAGCACTGCCCGATGCCTCCCGGAAGGGCCCGTAAAGTGTCGACGCGAACTTTGCGGAGTAAGACAAGACCGCTACCTTATGTGAAAACCCGTTTATTATTAGAGACTGTTTTATCGCAGCCACTCTGCCATCCATCATATCGGACGGCGCAACGATATGCGCGCCTGTAAAGTATTTACAAACATTTAATAATCTGTCGTTAATCTGTCGTCAGACTGCTAACAGATTGTTTATTGGGTAAGAGTACATATGATGAGGATTATCACATATGTTGACGCAATCGAAAAAGATAAAGGATGACAATCTGGGCCCGAAACTAAAACTTCTAGCTGGAATAAGTCTGCACATTCAGTTTTATTCGCTGTATCAATTATTTATTGCTATTACTATTTTCGAAATAGAGTAAATTATGGACTTAATTTTACGATTAATTCTTAAGAATGTATAACTTCTTACCAGCCTTGGCATATGCAAGAGCAACTTCTGCGAGTCGTTTAATACTCGCTGTGTTGTCTATAAGATCATCCGTCCCGATAATACCGCAGTGTCCGAGACTTGTATATGGGCACAAGCAAACATCACACGCTATTATCAAATCGGGAAAAGCAGATTTAAGTATCGGCAACGCTCGGATAACGGGATTCTGTTCACTGTCAGCATGAGTACCACGTGCGTCCTATAATTAAAAACCAGTCATAATTACATTGACCTTTACTATTGACTACGTGTGATTAAAATTTAAAATGATAATATTACATAAGGTTACACATAAACATACTTAATATAAATATATTTAAGTTTAGTTAATGGATATTACCTTGGGTAGAGTCTTTATCACACCAAATAATAAAATAGACTTTAATCCTTTCCTAACAAGAGGAGCCACAACAGATTTTACCCACTTAACTCCCATGCGAAACATCCCAGGCATACTTGAAATATATTCCATAACTTCTTCGTCGCTAAAATCACATGAGCAAAATTTTCATTTGTATATTACATATATATGCTTCCTACCTCATTATTTAAAAAAATCTTCATTATTTTAAAAAATCATAACATTCAGTGATGTATATATTTAAAGATAATCCTGATTATTTATATTTTTTTTAATACTCTTGGAAAATCATATTCTACGCAACATAATATTGTTATGTAATTTCATTGTGTGCTATAAAGTTTTATCTTTTTTCTTCTGAGAATATAAAATTTACATATATTTATAGAATATATCTCCATGCGTATGTTTTACAAGAATAGATATAAATGTCAATATTCAAGACAGAAATATGTTATATATAACTGTTATTACATCATACTTACGTCACAAATATAGGTAACATAAGATTATAAGAGTCAAAGTTGGTTGAATTTTTGGATTGCCACTCTCGAAGGACAGGATGAAAAATGGCACTGTGAAGAATATGCTTAGCATCCATCATCTTTGACACACTGGCTACTTGTTTTATATCCAAACTATTTGTATTATTTTCTCTTTGCTCCATTTCTGTTTTCGACGTTGTAGTACCAATTATAACGTTCCTCTTTGCAGTTTCATAAGAACTACTTGAGTTTATCAAATTACCAGATGGATAATCTAGAATATGATACATTATCAGAAATGAGATTAAAGAATAGGAGCGATAATGCTGTTCTGTAAACTTATTGTACTATGCAAAAAAAAAGTTTTCTATTAGAATCAAAATTTTACCCATGTCTAAACAATTCAATGTGCAAACACAAAAGAAATTTTTATAAATAATATAACATGTAATTGATAATATTAACAAAAAAAAAACTAGAATACGGTTTACAAATCACAAAATGTATATCAAACATAAATATTATACAGATAAAATGTAAGACCAGAGAAAGTGTACAACAGTCGCGAGAACAATAAACATCATTCGCTGAATTTTCGCAAATTAACTAATTTATATATTAAATTGATTAAAAATACAACTGAATTAAATAACCTCTCTTTTGTATCGCAACAAAAGTGTTACTTTGAAAAATCTCGCCTTGGCTAGATGTCGGATGTAGAATCACTCTTTCTAAGTCCGAAATGCATGATAAGCATGACATGTCAAAAATGTCACTCTGCACTCACGATAAAAGTAAAAAAACTTGCGATGCAACTAGAGGCCGGTATTCGTAATTTGATCTAATATTTAAGTTTATCTTCAGATGCTTTACGACTCATTTTATTGGCCACGAAGCATCTGAAAATAAACTTAAGACGGTCTTAAATATAAAATCCAACTATAAATACCGGCCAGAAGGTATTGATATGCAGACTATTGTATACAATCACGCGAAATAAGTGGTCACACATGCCACAACACATATTGCTTGATCCGCTTACCTAACATCCAAGAGTTTTTTCACGAAGCAATATTTTTTTACGAATGTTATCAAATGTTACTATAAATTTATTATACGTTTAAAATTTGAGAAGTGACAAGCTTCAAATCTTTCACGTATTAATAGCTATATCTAAATATATACATACTTTAATGTGTATTTTGAATACTTTTTTATCAATAAAAGTGCCTTAAATGTGGCTTTTCAGTCAATCAAGTGGCTCCTAAGCCATTTTTAGGATTTCAGATAACTGACGGTTCAAGAACCAGTTTCATAACCTCCGATTAAATTAACTTGCTGATTATGCCATTGGTCATTTCTAGCCAATTCTGCTCAACAAAAAATGCGATTGGTCAATTCGAATGGGATAATCAGCGAGTTAAATTAATTGAAGGTTGTGAAAGCCATCTTTAGTCCCAATCTACAATAGATGTTTTAAGCTCTAAGTCTTAAAAAAAAAATTGACCAATCACAGTCAAATTATAGAAGAAAAATCAATTATAATCGGTCTTTAGGACAGTTTCTTAAATCTTAAGTCTTAAAATCTCATTGTAAACCCCGCTTTAGGTCTTATATCCACAATCCTAAAACGCTCGTGCAGAGTTATTAGCCGGATGTACTAGTTACTAGAAATTACTAGAAATTCTAGTACTTTTCAAGCATTTACAACATAGGTTCCGTTCGGAAACACACAATGTGTGCACACTACTAGACACCAGTTGTTCTGAAACATTTAGACTGCATTCGGAAACATCACTTTTTGATGTGCTTTTATGACTTCGCGGTCCAATGAGGAGAACTCGTTCTCGAAAAGTAAATTCTCTCATTGGACCATCGGCTGCATTCCAACATCTGACAGCGAAATACGGCAATATTGTATACCAAATTTCACACTGTCTTTCATGCCAAAGTACAATAATCCGATGTCCAATAGTAAGTTTGACTTTTTAAGGTTCCTAACTAGCAAGACGTTCGTCTCCGGAAAATTTATTCTATTGGATATCGACATCGTATGTCGGACATCAGAGACAGTGTAAATTCTCCATAAGCATCCTAAAAGATAAATCATTTCTAGATATTAATGTATCATGACTGATCGCTTTTAGTTTTTATCTTACCAATGCATAAGTAAAAAATCTCTAATTCAATCACGACACAATTATTATAACTATTCGTTTTATAAAAATATTATAAATACATTGTTGATTGACAATGAGTAACTTATCACTAGCACTCAAATTTATCCGACACTCTCAACTTTGATAATACGACTGGACATAACTTGGGCATAATTTTACATTCAATAGCACAGACTCGCCAGATTCAAATTTAAATATTATCGTAATATGATAACATGATTGATGATATTACATTCATATCATTCAAGTACTAGCTATGATATCAACATGGCGATTTATAAATAAAGTTGTGCTTACACTCCTAGCAGGTTCCTTTCCAATCAGCTAACAACATCTCGAGAATTGCAACTTTTGTTTGTAGACAATAATTTTTCCTCCTAAGTATTGCAATTTCTTTTCGTTGCGAGCTAATGCAGGTCATAGCCATTTTCCAATTATGCATGACTTTCACGGGAGACCGGAGATCACTGAGAGTACAGAAACCAATGTATTTTGGATACACCGTATGATACCGTCGTTTAACTCTTGAAGTTACAGAGCACTCCCTGTATATACGCAACGATAATTTTAAGTTAAATAAAATAAAATTAATTATATATTCTAGTTCTGTACACCGTACCTATTAGTTTCTTTTGACTTCATTTGACATTTGTTCCATTTACTACATGTCGCCACGTCATTAACAAATAGTGCCGACCTCATGTTCGTGTCTGATTCAGATTCCGTTTTTAAGCGAACTTTCATATCCAGTTTCTCATCCTTAGAATGATTATCATCTTGACTTTGTTTAGATTTCCTCGCATATCCCATGTGTATTCCCTTTCTGTTCCTCCTTTTCCTGCAAAACAAATTCAATACTTACATTATTGATTTATTCTTCATTATATATACATACAGCTACATATTTTACATTAATATTCAACAGGTACAGACAAATCATAATGTATTACGTGTTAATGCACAAATAATTACCTAATTTCCTTACCAAAAACATACATCAAATAAGGTCGGTATAGAATCTGGCCGTAAACGTATCCGTTGCTTTTTCCCTCCATTGTTAGGGTAATACAGGCATTCTTTGGCAAAATGTAGGCTACACAAAATGCTGCTTTTGGTTGGGACGAAATCTTTCTTCCCTATTGCACTGACCCACGCCTGACGCATATCCTTCTTCTTCGGGAACCTAAAATGCAAGATGGTGTAATTATTTTTCCCAGTAGTTATTATTATAATTAATTACAATTTACGTAAATATATTCATCAATAAATGGATAAACAATATTATGGATCACGATCACAGGTTAAGAACATTTACGTACGAGTGATAAGACACTCTCTCGTTGTTCTCAGTGGTGTCACGTTTTTCGCGAAACCCACAAGCGCAACACGTTTTCATCTCTTTCTTTTTATATCTTATATCTCACAAAAAATTGAACGTCACACGACGAGAAAATGTTTTCATTGTGAATCCGTATAAAATACGCGCGCTACGCATTTAGGAACATAACATGGATGCACTTTCGGCTGCGTTCTCTTTGAGCACTACAAAATCCGTATCAGACTACGAATTTGTAGTCCGTACCTTTTTGATTGAACTGCTGCGCTATTTGAAGAAATTTACATCTATAGGGGATTTATGTTGGTAAAAACTTGAGAGGCACTAGAATTTCCAATAATTTCTAGTAACTTTTCTTGCGGTCCGTTCTCTTTAGCTGCGCCACTGGTGCAATAAGTTAGAATGAGGCAAGTATATTTTGTCTCGCTCTAACTTATTGCAGCAGTTCAGCATTTCAGCAGTGAAAAAGCGCAGTTGAAAAGAACGGACCAATAATCGATACCCAGTGTGCAGAAGACGCAAGACGTAGAAGGGAGTCGAAGTATTTCTGCATCGACATTTCACTGACCTCGTCCGTCGTGGTTCACATATATCATACGTGTTACGAATGGAATATCTACCCTGAATAGTAGAACGTGTCTTTCTACGTAATTCTCGGTACATACGTGTCCTACAACCGTTCTCGATTTAGGTTCTTCCGGTGAACAAGTCGCCTTCAGCGAAGCTAAGTCATTTCAACCCGGTTTCCGGACGATGGCAGATATGCCGGCGAACATCGGTACCACGCGGAAAATGTCCTTCGGCATCAACGGTAAACTGAACGGCATCGAGGGCAAAACACCATTCCTTATTGGAGTCTCCGGCGGCACTGCGAGCGGAAAGGTATGATTTTTTTTTAATTATTCTCTGACATTATGCAGTCTCTATCGCATAATAATTGACTTTAATCTATACTTCAAGTGAACGCAATGTGCTCGCGCGCTGATGCAATCAATCCATATTGACAACTCGAATTTGTGTTGTCTCTCATTTTGGAATCCGTTTTTATTTTCTTTTTGCGTGTATGTGTGTTTCGAAGATTCGGGAAGTTTTATTAGCGTTGATCATTGCTAATGAGTCGTTTTATCCTTGTATATTTAATGAGGGATTTCGTATACTCTAACAATAAAAGGAACATGTCAATGATTAATTTTAATTATACATATTGACTGTTGGTTGATATTGTAGTCCACAGTATGCAAGCGTATAATGGAGAAGCTGGGACAGGTCGACATGGATCATCAGCAGCGCCAGGTGGTCTGCATATCACAAGATAGCTTTTACCGTGACCTAACACCAGCTGAGAAAGTGAAGGCTGAGAAGGGACAGTACAATTTCGATCATCCGGATGCATTTGATAACGACTTGATCTTACAAACTCTGCAGGATATATTAGCTGGTGTTAAGTGCGAGATACCAGCTTACGATTATAGGACTAACAGAGTGTATGTGGTTTCCCCAGTTACAAGTAATTCATGAAATAATACTAATGTAATAATTATCTATAGAAGTAAGGAGTAGTAATTTCCAAAGTAACTAAAATATATTGTTTGATCCAATGATGATAATTTTTCAAGCTTTTATTCATGAGTTGCGAATTCCAAATAAAAATTGTAAGTCAAATTTAGTGTAACACGGTATCTATATTTGTTTCAGAATGAAGGATCAACTTACCACAATCTATCCCGCTGATGTAGTCCTCTTTGAAGGAATACTGGTATTCTATTTCCCTAAAATTCGAGATCTGTTTCATATGAAATTATTCGTCGATACCGATTCGGATACCAGGCTCGCGAGAAGAGGTAATTTCTCATGTCATGCGGTTTCATCGGCTCGCTATTCTGTCTTAACATCAATGTTGATTTTTTCAGTGCCAAGAGATATCAAGGAACGTGGTAGGGACTTGGATTACGTCCTAAATCAATACATGAATTTTGTAAAACCAGCTTTCGAGGAGTTTTGCTTACCGACAAAGAAGTTTGCAGATGTTATAATACCTAGAGGAGCGGATAACACAGGTAATATTACACAAATGTAATATTTATTGTAGCTATTATATTTGATGCGACCTGCAGCTTAGAAGTTTTATTTTTAATTTTTCCGTGAGTTCGGTCTTTTTATTTGCTTCGTAAATATATAATAAAGATAATTTATATATTTCTTTTTAGTTCGTAATATTTTTGCTATAGTATTGTTTGTCTATTTATGATGCATTGATGTTTGAAATGCTGTTCCGCTTTAGTAATATTAATAAAAAATTAACGTTTAATTCTGTTTTTTTTTTCTAAATTGAAAATTTCAATCTTTAAGATGAATATGTAAGTTTATTATTATTATTACTGGTTACACAATATTCAAGATGTATACACAGGGAATCCCAGAACTATTCTCATTCTTCTGAACTGCAAATATTGAAGAACAAATTAATAATTTGATTATTCCTGTAGCATGAGATTAATAGTTTGATTTAAAAATGATGTTTAAAAAATGATAAAAGGGGAAACATTTTTGGTGAATCGAACTTAAGCAGTCGAAGTATACAAAGATTACAAAGTCACAAAGATTTGTCTCTCAATTTTGGGTATGAGTTTGACTTAATTAAAAAAAAAAATTTAACAATTTATAACAATATATTGAAAATAGAAATATAATTTGATCTCTACTAAAAACTTGGGAAGAAATTTTTGTAAATGTTTGATATTTCTTTTTCTTTTTTCTTCTCTTTTTTTCTCAATGATAAGAAATACATTTATAAGATAGAATTAACAGGTAGTTGTAATCAGTAATAATAATAATACATGACACAGTCTCAATCTATCTTCTCAAAAAATAATATAGAATAAAATGTCACATCGAATGTGTTTCAACAGTGGCAAGTAGAGGTGTGATCACTTAACATTAAGAGGTGCCTCTTTCGGGACTGCATTTATATCTAAATATGGTAACAATAATTGTACAATCACAATATGCATACAAAATTCAGATGTACACGTCACAGTTACTGGTGATATTTTACGTGCTATTTTGTTTTCTTCTTTGTTTTATACACACACATATATATATATATATATATATATATTTTTTTTAAGTCGCGTCCATACATAACTATACCTTATGGGTGCTGCCTGGTATGCCGTGGTTGTGGATGTCAGAGCTACACCTATTTAAACTAAGCGAAAAAAGCTTTTAAGAAAGAGAACACCTCACGGGAAAAACCCTACATGGTCTGGTTGTATGTTTGCAGTGGCAATAGACCTAATAGTGCACCACATCCGGGATATTTTGCGTTTGAAAAAGGCCGAAAACTCATCCGGGCAGCATCCATTCGTCTATCAGCGTAGGCGTACCTCGGCCTCATCAGACACGCTCAGCAGATGACTTAAGCATGATAAGCTCGCTCTGTCAAGCACTGCATTTTTTTCCGCACCACGCTCCCATGTATGACTCGATATATATTTCGCGATTCTTCTTAATATTAACAGGAAAGTGATATCCGTTTTACGGAATCCCAAAAGGGATTTAAGCCAACACACTTTTCTTTTACCGCGATACGTTCACGAATGTTGTTATAACGCGATGTTTCCTCGATCGTCGTAATATAATTCAGCTGTCGTAAAAGATTACGTATCTCTTTTACGTAATTTCAATATAACGCGCATTATATATTGTCGAAAAAAAAAAGCAAAATCGACGCTCCAGAAGGGACAGACACTCGTTTCCCCGCAAATTGTCCTAGTATTATTACAAACTTTTGTATTCCGAAGAATTTGTACTTACATGGCGGAGGATGGTGCTTTTTATACGTGTTTTATCCCGAATGAATATCCTTGCGTAAATTAAATTGTAACTCTTAACCCATGAGGGAAGTGCATGAAGTTGCGTGGTGTCTCTGACAAAGAGACGTAGTAAAATGACGGGAGTACAGCCGGTGGAACTGAGTTTTTCTCTCTCTCTCTCTCTCTCTCTCTCTCTCATTTTTTAACTCAGGCTTCGGTTCCAACTCGATTTTCATTCTCTTTTTTTAAATCTCAATACCGCTGCTTCATACTCGTCATGGTTAAATTAAAAGAGTTCTAAATCGGTATTTCCCGAATTTCGAAGATTTCGAAGATCAGAAGGCGACATCCAATCGGTGAATGTCCATCGATTTGTTCTCGCCTAATCATCTGTGCAAATTGTATTAGTCAATATTGCATATCTCGTATAATTATCTATGGTCACACAAGTTTCTTAGCAAACGTCTCGAATATTAACTGAGAGTACGACCTATAAATAATATGTACGTGTGCAATTGTCCTCTGTGATATGTGATCGTATGCGTGTGTACATGTACGTGTGTATGGATGTATGTTCCCCACGTGGCTATTAAACGGGTTACTTTAGATTATGTTTCAAACACATCTATCTGTGTAAAGCGTTATACTTCCCTTTCTGGTCACTCCATCATAATAATTTGCGTTTGCATTCTTGCATAATACTTGACATAATAACGTACAATACATATGCAAGGTATTCATAAATCGTAATTATCTCTGAGATGTAGTGTATCTAGTTTACATTAGACTTATCGTACCTCGGGATATTCGCCTATCGCACTTCGTAGCAACGTACTTTAACGTGTAGAGACGTATACAAGGTGCGCCAGAACTGTTATGCAATAGTACCTCGACACGTGGTTCTTTTCAACGATTATTCTTTTAAAACGGTTTCGAGAGGAAAACTTGGTTCAGCATTTTCATACGGGACCATATTTTGCACAAAATTGTGCACACAAAATACTGATTAAGTCTGGTACGAAATGTCTCTATTAACCCATTAACTTGTCCATTAATCTCTCAATTATTTCTGACATTTTCACTGACACGTGTATGTATATCAAGTATTGTTAAGTTCCTGATTTCGAGGCAATACCTGTTCTTCTCAATCTCCATTTTGTATTTGTGGTCAACGAAGAGTGTGCTAGTTCTGGGACACCCTGCGTATTCACGATATATAACGAAGAAGAAAGCAGCTAGCCTTTTCTATCTCTCTCTTTCTCTCTTTCTTTATACTTGCGAGTCAGCATATGAACACAAGTGTCTTATAATATAAACTGCACGTAATCATTATGCGATTACAGTTGTTACCCAAGATAATCGATAACGATTAACTCTTACGATTAATACATTACGATTAATTCCAGATGTTTACAGGCGATTTAATATTGTTTCGAGATGTATAAATACTGACATACGTCGCAAATAAAGGAAATTTATTTACCTCCCCAGTATATACACGATTTACATCTGACTTGCGACCACACACACACACACACACACACACACACACACACACGCACGCACGCACTGACGTTTCGTGATCTGTGTTACAGTGGCGATAGATCTGATAGTGCAGCACATAAGAGACTTCTTAAGCAACCGGGGTAGGGAAATGGCGCAGCCTGAAAGTCCAGTAGGCAAGATAGAAGGATTGTTCAAGAGGCCGCATTAACGTTCGAGAGTTTTAGCGCTCTTTAGAGTGGCCCGACGAGTCTAACGCTTTGTCTAATTTCTGCGCGCGACTTATTTTTGATAATCTCGATTATATAGAGCAGAACTCTTGAGATGTTTTTTTTTTAGGGGTCGCCGCCTTGTGTTTTAATATTTCTAGCATTTGCATCTTACAGTGATGCCTGAGTGATAATCGTTCGATTGCAGATCGACATGCAGATTAAAAGCTTACGTATATACATAAATGTATAAATAACTATATAGGTACAGGAGGTACGGGGTGTAACTCAAATGTGTCGAAGCTACGGAAGCAAGTTACATTTGATAAGACTATACATGTTGCGAGAGGATAGAACGACCCCTTTTAAATTTTCTTGTTCTTTTAATACGGCCTATGTATTCTGTAGCGGCTTTTCCGTACTTTTTGAGCTACATCCCTATATATACATATATACACACATACACAACACACACACGCGCGCGCGCGCACACACACAGAGAGAGAGAGCACTAATATCAAATGAGATACGTTGTTGCACAGTTTAGTAATCTCATAAATCTGTAGATATAATTAGGGATTTTTGAACACAGCAATATTTATGAAATGACAACATAGAAAAATCATATATTTACTTTTCTTTTTAACATTTATGGTAATTTAATATTTTATATTTTATTTTTTATTGTGTGATCGTGGATCATCGTGGTTGCATTCAGAAAACACTACGGTTGATTAATTTGCCAATTGGTCTAAATTCAGGAATCTAACAGTAAAGACTAATAATCACTGATAGCTTTTTTTTCTAGATATTGACTCTACAGCTATTGGCTTGGTCATCGATCTTTACTATTAAGACCCTAAATTTAGACCAATTACATCGAATTACTCAATCGTATTTCCTGAATGCAGCAATTATATCAAGATATGTTACAAAACAAAAACAAGACGTTCAGTGGTTATAAGAATATTATCACTTAAAATACTTAAATACAACTTGATTTTACACAGGATTATTGATAGTAGAGTTCTAAGTTCATGCCGTCGTGTACTTCATCTGAGGTAGTATGTTAAGGAAAAAACTCTGTAGAACAATTCTTAGACTGTATTACAATTGAATTGCATTCTCATAGTAAAGGATACAATCTTGTAGCTTTATGTGATCTTTGAAAATGGTGTACCATTTCTTCAACACGATCTTCTCCCAGTGCGTTCCAGTTTGAGCAGCTATCAATTTTTTCAAATCACCTATGGTATCGTCCGGATTGCATTTCACTCTGACTTTCTTGCCAAGACGATCATTACACGTTATCTCTAACATTTCCTTTTTTTTTTAGCGTACCTGGACTTAAAATTCAAAACTTTGAAATAAGCAGCGTATAAAATAGTTCTATTATTCTATGTGGTGCAATACGACAAGCTATTTACCGCATTGACTTGCATTCTCTACAAGATGCGTCACATTATATTTCTTGCTTTTACGTTATTTTCATATATTAACCTCCGTAAGTGGGCGTGCGACTTTTCGAGGGATGAAACAACTGCTATTTACAGCTGAGATTTTCGAGTATTATTTCTGTGGGTTAGTTTGATTGAGTTTGACTACCACGCGTCCACTTACGGTTTGAAGCTGCGTTAATTTTTAAGGATAAAACACGTTGAAACACTATATAAAAATATCATTGCGATAATTCTGAATTACGTCTAAAATTCAATTTCAAGATACATTTATCCTCATTCTACCAGCAAACATCGAATGTCAACCGAACGTTGCTTGCCTAAAAATTTCTGTAAAATTTAAATACTGCTAAGTCAAGCAAACAAGTACTTACGTTTAAGCAAAAGACGTTGCCACGAATCTTTACTATCTTCTCGGGAGAGCAAATTATTCTCTTCCAAAGCTTTTTTCCTTCTCGAGAAAATTTAATAACAACTACTCATTTCTGCGTTTTTGAGGTTAAAGGTCGGAAGGAGACAAATATCGGATGTTTGTGCGACAAGCGGATCGCGCAATGATATCCAATAAATATAGAGAATTCTCTAGACTAATGGCTCTCGCACGATGCGCGATGCGATATCCAACGAACATGCTGCTTTTCCAGAAGAGCTGCACGCTCATTGGATATCGCGCGTCGCACATCGCGTTGGCTGCGACAGTCATTACTGCTTACAGCAATCCGTGTGTGAGAAGACCTTAGCTCATAACAAGGTCGTAATACGATTCGATGACAAGTCAAACTTTATTTTTTCGAAGCAGTACGTCTCATCAACGTTATATCAGCAGAACTGTTTATTTCCAAGAGGTGCGTTCAGAAATCTAACGCGATGGGCAGAGCAGCATTTGATTGGCCAATCAAGATCGAAAGAGCAAAGATTTCTTTATCACGATTGGTTGATAAACCCTACCTCGTCGAGCAGGATTTCCGAACGCACCTAAGCAGGACTACGCCTGATCGGGGATCTTTTTACTTTCACGCGGCACGATTCGACAAAAATTCGGCGAGAACTGTACGTTCCAAAATAATGTCCAGTAGTGTCTCACTTGTCACGTCCACGTACGTCCGTGAACATTCGTCGCAGGTAGAGTTGCTGAATATATCGAGCACGTCGCGCCATCGGATCCGCCATATTCGATCGTGTCAGAGAGGTTAGCTATGTTGTGCACTCTGACGAGACGATATCTCTACTTCGCAATGCCATGTTGCTATGTTATTGCGAGAAACATGTTAGAGCGTCCTCGCTTTCCGATACGGTAAACGTTATTGCGCGGCGGGTCGTACTCGCGGCCGGGTGTCCGTATGAAAGTGCACATTGCCGGGCCCGATGGCGAAACCAGAGCGGCTTCGTTTCACGATTCTGGATGACCTGATACTGCTGCGGGAGGTCTCGGGGCAAAACCCGTACGAGGAGAGCGACAGGTGGAAAACCGTCGCTGAGCGGGTTGTGAGGGCGACGCAGAAGAACTTCAGCCTGCGCTGCGTCAAGGAGCATGTCGACCATCTCTTGAAAATTTGGGCGAGAGAAGGGCGCGCGCACTTGAGAAAGTGAGTGCAAATGCTTATGAATTGTCGATCAGATAAGGGATATTAAGTCGTCCTGTTTGAATCGTGCTTGTCTCAGTTGAAATGATTCTCCGCGTAATTTTTGAGGACGTGATATCACGTTGATTCGCAGGTCGGGCACCGAGGAACAGTACAATGAGAAGGAACAACTTCTTCAGCAGGTGCAGGATCTGCAGAGGGAGTTCCGACGCGCCGGCAAAGGTGTCAACTCGAACGGGCAGAAGTCGCAAGCTAGGGATATTACTTTCGAGGTAGAGAACATTTTTAACAATTTAGAGGTGATAATAGAAGAACCGACGGTAGGGATGTCCATACCTTCGTCGTTTCCATCCTCGACGTTTCTACCGATCGCATTGCCATCGCCAACTCTGTCCTCATCGTCGTCTTCATCGACCCCGCTAACTTCAGCCAGTCCATTGCGATCGCCGAACACGTCGCCGTCTAGAACCGGCGGCCCGATCAGAAACAAGACACGGCACGATGGACTGAGAAAGTCAACGTTGCAATTCCTGCAGGAGAGGCACAAGAAGGAGGTGGAGCTTCAAGAGAAACAATTCCGCCTGGAGGAGAGGAGAATGCAACTCGAAGAGGAGAAGTTTAGGATGGAGAGGAAGGAGCGCGAGGCCAGATTGGAACTGGAGATCGAAGAGAGGAGGCAGAGGATCGCTGTGTCGAAGCAGAAACAAGAGATTCTGGAGATATTGTTGCAATTAATACATAAACCTTGATTATTTTTGTAAATGATAGTCCTTTTATTTTATTGATTTATAAATAAAGCTAATGTTAAGATAAATATATTTCATATTTCAAGCGCAACGAATATTATCGAAAATGAGAGATGTTTCTGGGTTCGGATGAAAAAATTGTACGAAGATACTTTTCAAGAAAAGTGGAGGAAAGTTTCATGAAAAACGCACAAGTCGATGCGATATAATTTGATATTTTATACTGCGCGATAATCGCGCTTCGAATGGTTAAATTTAAACTAATTTTTTACCGCCTTCTGTATGTATAAACTATGGCTGCGTTCTGAAAACAGAAGTGGTCAGTGAGTATTGATTTTTATTATTGTTAAATTCCTAAGTGCAGGCCAATATGTTGACGAACTACTCAACCTTTGTATTTTCTGAACGCAATCTATGTGAAGAATAAGTCCGAATCTACAAAAGGTGTAGCAAGTCTTGAGCCATAAGAAGTCGACCAATTACAATCGATTATTCTGCGCATACTCGACTGTGATTGGTCAATTTCTTTTAACGGTTTAAGGCAGGTCTGCGGCCAGTTTGCATTTTCCCGATGAATTTCATAGCATCTGGACTCCACACGGGAACGTAAAGACCTGTGCAGAATGACGGATCAACGTCCTCGAGTGTGATTGGCCGATTCGCTCATATTTTTCTCAGGCCCTGTGCACAATACAGCATAAATTAGGAATAAGAATAAATATTAAATATCGAGAATAGGAATTAGGGATTCACACAATAGGATGAAATGAACGGCTGCATGACACAATTTCTACATTTATATCTTACATTTCATTCTTCCCCATTACGTCCGCATTATGTCCCATTATGTTCATAATGTTCACATTAATCACATACTTCTTAATTCATACTTTTAAGGGGTTACACCACAGTAGAAATTTCAAAAAATCGATTCTTTTTTTATTGGCTTAAAAAATCCTTTGAACCCTCTAGAATAAGAGACAAACGGTTTTATATCTGCCAGAAATCGTTTTCATTGAAATTTCGAGCTCTTTCTCGACCCCTCCCGACTGCTCCGAAACGACTACCTGCGGTAAATACGACACCTGCTTGTCGGGTACAGCATTATGTCTTACCATTCGATTTCTAACTTCTCTAATACACTAATAGATGTCGTTAGAAACATTTTCAAGCATTTTGAACACAAAGTACGTTAGTACAGCGTCCTTTGATGTTGAGAGGAGAC